TTTAGGGTTTAGCGTTTAGGCTTTCGGGGCGTAGGGTTTAGGGTTTAGGGTTTAGGGTTTAAGGTTTAGGGTTTAGGGTTTAGGGTTTAAGGTTTCGGGTTCAGGGTTTAGGGCTTTTCCGACGGGGCCACAACAAACACTGCGCGGGCCTGCGATCGTCGCGATGGTTTCGAGCTGGACGACCTTAGTGTGGCTGCTAAGTCAGAGCATATCCCTAAACCCTAAACCCTAAATCCCTAAACCCTAGACCCTTAGCTCTATCTCTAAAAGCCCTAAACCTTTAGCTCTATCTCTAAAAACCCTAAACCTTTAGCTGTATCTCTAAAAAACTAAAAACCCTAAACCTTTAGCTCTACCTCTAAAAACCCTAAACCTGTAGCTCTATCTCTAAAAACCCTAAACCTGTAGCTCTAACTCTAAACCGGCACAACATAGACCGTCAGACCTTCGGTTAGGAGTCTCGGGTTTAGGGCTAAGGGGCTCCTGGTCTTCGCTTCGGAGGGCCCAGGGTTTTGGGGGTACAGGCTTTGAGGCCTAGGGCTTAGGGTTTAGGGTTTAGGGTTTAGGGTTTAGGGTTTAGGGTTTAGGGTTTAGGGTTTAGGGCTTAGGGCCTAGGGGTTTTTGGGGTTTAGGGCTTGGGCCCTAGGGTTTTTTTTCAGTGCAATAGCCTCTTTCCCTGCGAGACTTGTTCTGGTTGGGGTTTAGGACTTTGAGGCTTAGGGCTTAGGGCCCCAGGGGTTTAGGGTTTAGGGCTTAGGGCCTAGGGGTTTAGGGTTTAGGGCTTCTCGGGGTTTGGGGTTTAGGGTTTAGGGCTTAGGGCCTAGGGGTTTCGGGTTTAGGGTTTAAGGCTTAGGGCCTAGGGGGTTGGGGTTTAGGGTTTAGGGCTTAGGGCTTAGGGCTTCGGTTTAGGGTGTACTACCCAGGCTCGCACAGCCTGGATTTTGAGGTGATTGCTGCAGCTAAAAGCAAACAAGGTGAAAAAGACTGGCCTCCGCGGGCCTGTAACCCACCCAGATCTTCCCCTGCAACCCCACACCCTAAGCCCCAAAGTCATTGTCGGGTTCAGCACCTACCGAAGGGCCTCAAAACCACAAGCCACATAATGATACCGATAGCAAGATTGTATTGAAATGATTTGTAGGAAAACAGTAATAGTGCAACAATAACGACGAGAATAACCACAACAACAAATCCCCGTAAGAACAATAATAACCATAACAAATACCGACATAAGCAATACAAGTAGCAACAGAATAGCAACAATAAGAGATGGCTTTAGTTATCGCCTGGGCTCACTTTTGCATCAAACATGAAAGATCTAGGCAGAGCCTAGAATATCTCATTCTTTGTCTCGAAGATCTCTGCATGCAGCATGACTCAGGATCAGCATGTGGTAGTCGGATATTTGGAGTGACGGTAGGTGTGATCATGATGGCCCTGACAAACAGGATAATCATGACAGCCAAGCGGACACGTATAACAGCGCAGTTGATCCAAATTACACAGCAGGACCGGTGCCCACGGCTTGCCTGCTGGCCCTTTAACTCCAAAACGTGGGGTCGAAACGGATAGACGTCCATTCTCTCGGAAAAAAATGCAGGGTTTCAGGCTTTTGCTGGCCTCAGGATAACATTTTAGGGTTTCCCCTAAACCCTAAACCGTCAAGCATGGGGGTTCCGAGTCTTTTTGGTATCAGGGGGGTAGGGCTGGGAGAGGGCTGTCTCCGCTTCTGGGGCTCACGCTTGCCCGTGCCCGACGTGCAAAACATGGCCTCAGCTGCAGATCGCAGGGTTGCAGCAGGGATCTGAGGAGTTGGGATTGCGAGTCTACTAGCCATATATTACAGGAAACCACAGGTGGGAATTTTAGGGTATATAGGGCCTCTATAAGGCTTCCATAAGGTATATAGACCTTCTATAAGGCTCCTATAACGGTAACTACCCACCTGAAAATGTCCGAGATTATAACCCCCCAAAGCTGCCCGAGAAGCCAAGACCCTAAGCCCTAAGACCCTGAAGTGCACAGGGAAGCGGGCCGCCGGCTCGCTTTAGAAGGCTAACGGCTTGCTGAAAAAAAGCAGGGAAACCGCTACGACTGAGGAATCATCCCTCCCATCAGGGTTTAGGGTTTAGGGTTTAGGGCCTCCCATCAGGGTACTTGCAAGCCCAGTTTCTAAACCGCTCAGTGAGACTTGAGGGTTTACCAGGTCTGCAACTGTTGCTGCAGGTCTCTGCGAGCTGAAGAATCCGACTTGCCAACACACCTCCACACGAATCCACACATCAGCCCCTTTTGACAAGTAGGCCACAAGCCCCAGCACTCGACCCTCAGCCCTACTGTACGCCCCAAACACCTCAATCCCAAAACCAGCATTACGGGAGGCGGGTTCCGCTTTCGAGCTACGGCGACGGGTCATAATCACCACACACTACTCCACAAGGTCTCCGGAGTCGAGGTTGATTCCTTCGGGCCCTCGGGGGGGGGTTTGGATCTCGGTAATGTCCAAGGCGGCCGAGGTCCCGGCCTCAACTCTTAGCCAAGGATGCACACTCGGGAGTGAAACAGAGAAGGGTCCCCTTGTCTACCCTAGGAAGTCGTGAGCTTCGTTGCTGAAGGATCCTAGGAGTAGAGGGGCCCTAAACGGGGACCCACCCCAGCGTAGATTCCCCGACACTGCACGCCGGCCCTTCTACTGGTTGCAGGTCTTCACATGTGCTCCGACTGCCGTGAAGATGTTGGGTTCAGCTCGTGTTTCAACTGCGGCAAAACTAAGCCAACGAGAGGAGGTCTCGAGCAAAATGGCGATCCAAGCAAGCTTTCTTACTGCTAATCCGAGAATCAACAGTGTCTCAGAAACCCCCACTCTGAAACCAAAGCAAGGCCGACGCCGCTGGCAAAAAAACAAAGTATCAGCGATCATGGAAGAATCAGAAATACATAGAAGCACAATAACAGACGAATACCACTGACAGCAGAAACCCCTAAACCTTAAACTTAGATGTAGCGCCACGGAATATCTTGGCTTCACGTCGACGGTGAAAGCACTACCGACGTTAACGCCATGCCCTAGCTAACCTGAAGGTGAGGCACTTCTCGTAACCTGAAGGCGCGTTCGACTGGAAAGCCCTCAAGCCGAGTTGTCGAAGGTTTAGGTTTTAGGGCTTAGATTTTGTACTTCACCCGAAAGTGGCTGGATGGGACGACCGCAAAGATGATCCTGAACACGGTCATGCTGACGACGGCGATGATGTAAACAGAAAAATGTGGAGAGGATTGCGATGAAGGTCCTGACCGCTGTCATCGTCAGCATCATTACTACTTGCATTACCACCACTAACAACGTCATGATTACCATCGTTGCTGTCAGCAGCAACGTCACCGTCCCCATCGGAATCACATCACAGAATCATCACAACAAAAATGCGGCGTGTCCGGCCAAACAACAACGGACTGTCAACGACCTGGTTGGTTACAAGAGGGCGTTCCTGTGGTGAGGTGGGCATAGTCGCTGCTGGGGAAGCCACGGTGCTTAGGACCGAAACTGAAGAGCAAGATGGGTGCTATCGTGTTGTCCAAAAAATACAAAATGTCAGGATCTTGAGGCTATGTTCTAGCCCGGCTGACTTGGGCCAGGCGATGTATTACTATTACCAGTTCGGAGGGTGCTCAAGGTTTAAAGCAGGGAGCCCATGCACGGAGACTGTTGCACAAGCACTCGAATCGGTCGCCCAGCAGGTGCGACTGTCTCCGTTGCCTGGTGCAATCGGAGTCCATGGCCTTCTACCCTCAAGCATGCTCTAAACCGACAAACCCTCATCCATAAACCCTGAACCGCATCGTCGAGGCTGAACCCCGAAGCTGTGTGCAGTTCGCGTTCTGGGCTTAAGTAAGGCCTTCGGGTCAAGTGGGGCTTCCGCGCTTAGGGTGTGCAAAAACGGAGCTCGGGAGCTGCGTTTGTGGGAGCTGTAGGATCTTCGCGGGACCTGTAGGATCTGATAGGCTGTTTTTTATAGGCTGTTTTTGTTGCTTCAAGTTTTGGGTTTAGCAGTGTGCTTCAGCCTGTGAGGCTTTGGGGTCTGGAGTCGAGGTGGTTCCAACATGGCTCAACCGCACATCCTGACATGAGGAGTTGACGAAATCTTCGTGGATGCACCGCTTGCCACTCTTGCTGAACTAGGTAGCTAACAACCGAAGAGGTTTCGAAGGGTCATCCTCATCCCGGAAGAAGAGCTTATGCCATTTCGGGACCGGATGCTATGAACACGAAGAAGTGGCTTCTTTTCTCATAAGCCGTCTCGTCCACCGATCTGAACTATATAACATGCAAACATGTCGTTCCGAGGTGGGGACATTGTAGGGTCTAAGGATTCGGGAGTCTGGTTGAGGGAGCAGTGGCTCACTGCGGTCTGAACCGGCATCAACATGTTCCGACAGCAAGCAGCATCTGTTGAGTGTGAGATGTGGTGTTGTTGAACACAGAGATTAATAGGGCCTCCACCTCGCTGGGTTTAGGGTTTAGGGTTTAGGGTTTAGGGTTTAGGGTTTAGGGTTTAGGGTCTAGGGTTTAGGGCAAAACTAGCTTTGGCAGTTGCTCGAGCAACGGATCATTTGCTTGGCTGGCTCGACAATCAGCCAAACATGCCCCGTTGCGCACTGAGGCTCCCAAGCACGATCCAGACCCATACTTCGTCACTTCTGGACAAAAAGAGTCTTCTACGGCGGAACTGCCTTCAGAAGCTCCACGCTGACTTCTGGAGTTGAGAATGCTGTCGCAGCAGGAAAGATGGTGTTACCGTACCCGGTTCCTGTTGCATCGAACTTCCAGCCCTCAGCCACGTACTCAACTCCTCCTGCACGCAAGCGGAACGTGAGGGTCCAGCCTGCTGGTGCATACAAAAAAAGTGCCGACTTGTCGTCGGCGGTCGCACCGTCGCCGTATGGATAAAAGCACAGGTACATATCCGGCACCTTCAACTTGGTGAACTTCGGGCTGTCGAGGCTCGTTCCCTTCTTTTCCTCCTTACCCTCCAGCTCCGCGGCAAAGTTCCAAACGAAGGTCCTGGCTGCGAGCTCCTCCTTCCTGGCCTTCTCCCGGTCCTGGAGGCTGTCCGACATCGTCTTCCTCTTGGCGGGGACGAGTGTAGGAACCGGGGCGGCCACCTTCAGCGTCGAGAGCTGCTCCTGAGGCCCCGATGACGTCAGAAGAAGCGAGCAGAAACCTCCACATCTTCCCGACTCGAGACAACACAAGGTCGAAGCTGGAGCTGCAGAGACTGTAACATGAGTTCCAAGACGCACCCGAACTAAGGGGAGGTCTCAGAGGCGGAGTTTTGGGGGAATCATGTTCGTAAGGTGCAGGAGATCCCAAGCTAATTTACCGGCTAATCCTACCAGCGTGCGGCTCGACAACGTTAACTGCTCATACGACCCATCCCACTTGCCGGCATGCTTTGGACCAAAGTTTAGCCGACCGCAAGCCTTGAAGTCCTGAAGCGCGCCAATGCTGTCCATGAGCGCCTTCCTTCGTCGCGCTGTGCCCTCGTCCTTGGGGAAAAGCTCGTGCAACGCGCTTCCTCCAAGCACTTCCCGCCAGGTGTCTTCCAGGGTCTCCCCCAGATGTTCTACCATGTTGAACTTCAAAAGCTTGGCCGCATGCTCCACGAAGCCTTCGATGAGGAAGCCAGTGTAAACATGCAGCGATGCACAGAGTTCCAGCACAGCCAGCTTGTCCGGCTCCTCTTGCGCCTGTTTCACCAACTCCACGAACTCGGGCGTCAGCTGCGGCTCTTCTTCCTTTGCTCCCGCGGTTCCTAGCAAGGCCTCGGCGATGCTTTTCAGGCCGTCGGCCGCCTCTTGGAACCAAGAGCGGCGGAACTTCGAGAGCTGCACCATGTAGTTGCCGTTCGTCGTGGAGGTCACGGCCTGTGCCTCTGCCAGGCTCTCGCAGAGGCTCCGCGCCTTCGACGTCATCTCGTCAATGGCGTCCTCGGCCGTGCTCGCCAGGCGGCTGGAAAGAACCGGATGGACCTTGGCATGGAGGGCAACGACATGCTGCACGACGTGGCGCAGATGCTCCGCCACAGAGGCGACCAGCTCGTTCACGGAATCTTTGAGAAGGCCCTCTTCAATGAAAATGCGCCTGATCAAGTTGATGAACACCTGGGGGCCGATCAAGTTCTCGACGGTGTAGCCCTGCACGAACGTCGCCTCAGGTCCACAGGGTTCGATCCAAGAAGAAGCCCGCACGACACGCACACCACCCCTCAGTTTTTGTTTCCTTTCCTTGCTCAATTCTATGAACTCCAGCAAAACGGCTTCAAAGAACCCGAAAAAAGAAGTAGCACGCTGTGTATGCCGTGCGTCGGTTGCCTAGGGAGTCGAAAACCCCTGGCCTTCAACCTGAAATCGCTCACCCCAGCGGCCACGATTCTCTACCCAGCTCTGAAACCCGGAAAGCTAAACCCGTAAACCCTAAACCCCTAAACCCCTAAACCCCTAAACCCCTAAACCCTAAACCCTAAACCCCTAACACCCCTAACACCCCTAAACCCCTAAACCCTAAACCCCTAACACCCCTAAACCCTAAACCCTAAACCCCTAAACCCTAAACCCCTAATCCCCTAAACCCTAAAAACCCTAAACCCTAAACCCTAAACCCTTAACCCTAAACCCCTCAACCCCTCAACCCCTAAACCCCCAAACCCTAAAACCCTAACCCCTAAACCCCTAAACCCCTAAACCCCTAAACCCTGAGCCCAACCTCCGGCTTCAAAGTTCGAATGCAGGTCTAAAACCCGTGCAAAACCATCTGGCAAACACAAGAGCTGCAT